TTTTTTTTTTTTTTTTTTTTTTCAATAACCTGGCACCTCTTGGCAAGACGACGTCCCATTTAACTTAAGGTGGGAGCCTGTTTCACATATTGCAAACTCACTTTTTTATGTTTCAAACATTTCAGGGTATATGGGATAATGTTATTGTGAAGAAGAACAGCATATCTTCCTGTTATGTCATAGCTTCAAATTTGCTGTTGGTAGATGAAGTAATGCGAGCTGGTATGACCAATTTGAAGGCTCCAGCGTGAACACTTTCTCAACAAAAGCAGCTACATTTTAAGGAGCCAGCACGTGAGAACTAGGCTGTTTGAAAACTCCCGTTTGTTATATGATGAAAGGTTTAAGTTTGAACCGAAAACCACTTGGTTGAGGTGTAAAAAGCACTTCCAGACATCCATGCTTTGTTAATTCACCGTTTCCAATGCCGATAATGCTAAATCGTATTTGTTTTGTTGTTTTTCTTATGCAATTTATTGTTACGCTGCTCCAGTGTTGTTTCGTTATAAATGCTTTCCCTCTTCGACTCATTCGTCCTATATTGACTGCAGCACGAGTTACGATGAACCGTCGAACAAAGATTCAAGGCGACACCCAATTGACCTTAGCGTACAAGGCAGATGGAGGATACTTTAATTAGACGATTTGCAACAGACCCATTTGAGGAAAGTAATAAAAGACCCTTTATTTACAGTTCAAATGATAAATTTAAAAAACGGTAGGAACGATGAAGCAAGAAAGTATCAAACTAGAAACACGTATTGAAATGCAGCCAGTCCAAGTGTTTGAAACTTAAACAAGACAGTAACGAGACATTTACGGAAATCTTCGACCGAACACTGAATGAAGACAAAACATATCAAAATTAACAACTTGGCTGGTTCTGAGATGACAATTGGACCTTTCTAGAACCACCATAGAGGGATTGGAGTTCGCAACACTAACGCCTTCGAAGCACTAGGCTTCCAGTTTGGATCAACCTGGATTGGAATATTCTTCGAGGCCACTTGAGGTTCCTCTTTACTAAATACCACCTTTAGCGTCCCATCCTCCTGCAGCTGCGGCTGTATATCTTCTTCTTTTACGTAATCAGGTAAAGCATATTTGCGGACAAAATGTCGTTCAACAGTGCCACCTTCATCTGACCGTTCTGCATGATGTCCCTCAATGACCAAAGTACTGCCATGCACATTTACTGTCAGTTCTTCCGGTCGGAACTGTGACACATTTAAAGCAACAGAACATTTTTTCCGAACATCCATCTGAAAACAAGGGTTTAACAGTCACATAATAAACAGTTCCTATCGTAAACTGATCCTCGAATCAGGAAACTAAGGTATCTACGACCAGAAACTAATTTAATGGTAAACCTTTCATTTTTGGGTGGCACCCAACATATATTTAGATGTAGTTAACCCACTAAATTTATTTGAGACGGTACCTATAGTGTAACACACGACAAAATTAAGCTCTCTACAATGTTGCGAGGTATCAGTTTGAATCCTCAACATTGAAAAAAGACAAGCTATAGGCTTCCAAAATCATTACACGCCGTCGTTGTAAAATAACCTCCGAAGAAAGAAAAGAAAGGCCTTTGTACCAATAATAACCGTAAAACACACATCACCGCATTAATTTTGAAATACCAAACTGAATCTCTATTAAAACCAGAACAGCAGCATAAAAAATTAAAATAAAATTACTAAATACCAGAATCACGCTTGCCACGAAGAACTCTCTAGAAAAAACCTAAATATACAAAAATCTTTCCAGCTAAAACACGAGAACACTTTTAAAAAAATCATAAAGCCTTATCAAACTTGCTACGCATACTTCATCTAGAGATTAACAATTACTTGAAGCTGTCAAGACCTCAGTGAAAATATAAGAAAAGAGCGACTGTAACCAGATGTATTCAAATTAAGTGTTGATAGCATCAACGTTTTCCATTCCACAAAACTATATTGGTGCAGCCAAAATTCTAAAGAGTTTAAAAAAAAAAACGCAGAATAATGCAGCAGCACTTTTTACACTTGATACCCGCTTAGAAAGCAATAATTATGCAACACGTACCAAACTGAACTACTGATACCGACAATTATGAAAGTGTTGTATTCTATAAACAATTAAAAAATTGTTGTTTACTACAGCAAAATTATGTTTCACTAGCTTAATTTTTCAAAGTGTGAAACAAGACCTGACACTAATATCACTCAATTAACCGAATGATGGTAGTAGCAATAACAAAGATAACATACACTTACAAAGCATACAAAACAATGAACAGCCTATGCTGCCTTCAGCACATTTAATTACCAAACCCTTCTGCAAGTCGATAAACATAACCAAACAACTGCTAAGTAATAATAGATCAATATTTCCTGACATTGACTACAGCCCCACAGGCTGCAGTTCAAAAGCACAACAACTTCCGATGACTGCAGCAGTGTGCAACAAGCAATAATGGATAGATTTTATCAGTATTCCCTTCCTACTTGTGACCACCATCTCAGAAACAACAGACTAGTGTAAAAACACGGGGCTACCAAAATCCTCTGGCAACTAAACTTCACTTGGCCTCTGAAAACACAGGATGAATAGGGTTATAGATAGGCTTGACAACAGCATTAAAAACTTTCTATCTTCTGCGATCCTTTCCCCTTCTCCTTGCGGCAAAAAAAAGAAAAAGTTCCAGTAATAAAGTTCAAACCGTATTACAGCGATATTTGGTCGAGACTGCTTTTATACAATTACCATGCTGTTTCATGCCCCAGACACACTTGTCAAAAAACTTTTAACCCTATTCGACTAAAAATCTACCGCCAAATAGCACGAAAAAAAAAAGGCAAGATTGTTTCAGAATT